AGTATCACCTCTCTGGACCGGCTTGAGACGCATCTTTGGATGCATGCCAAGGTATGGCTGGCCTTGCTGGCTGCAGTCTGGCATTGGTGTCTCATGTTCATCACTCCAAGATCCCATTCCGTCTCTGTGCTTTCATGAGGGGAACTCCCCAGCCTGTATGTACGCTGTGGATTCCTTCTCCCAAGGTGCAGCACCCTGCATTTGTTCAACACCACGTACCACTCTATTCATTATGCAAACTAACCAACTATTATAAAAAATAATAATAATTTGCTCTCTTCCAAAGGGAAGTGAATTGAAAAGCTGCCTGCCATGACTCTGCTGAGAAGTAACACTTCAACTCTCTTGAAGCATTTTCAGTATAACAATGAATCACTGAAATCTGTGATCCGGGGAATGAAAGTAGATTTGAAGACAAATATTTTGTTTGTATTTTGAGTTACAGTTTGGCAACCATAAAAAAATCCTTCATGCACTGCTAATTTTGTTCATGTTTACAGCAGCTGTTAAGCCAGAAGAAGACATAAGCTGTTATAAGGTGTTTACATAGTGCAAATGAAACTCAAAGGCAAATATTTATATTTATGAGCCAAGGGACACTGATCACTAATCAAGTGCATGCATAAAGCGTATGTGAAGTTTTGAAGACCAGATGTAGGGTTGAGTATGCAAAACACAGATGCGCAACACTGCATATATAAATGACTACTTATTTACAGTTGCCACTATGCCCTTCTGAAATAAGCTTTCTAGCAATGTTGTGCAGTGTTATATGATACACATGATCAGAGAGTATTTGACAAACTGGAAAAAGCCCAGCAAAAAAAACAACAAAAGGTGATCAAGGTGAAAAAACAAACTGGAAAAGGTAGTGGCTAAGGAAGAATTAAAAGCAGTATACAAAGCATATTGTATTTATGTGCCTGTTACGCCTTGTTTTGGAAAGGCAGAATGAAGAAAAAAGATTTCTCTAGTCTTCTCTATCGTAGCACTGGCTCAACCAGGACTGAAGCTTTCAGCCGCATGGAGCAGGGGCAAATCCCGTTATCAGCATCACTCCCACTCCTCCTGGTGCAGGGCCCACAGCTACCACCAATTCGGCAACGGGTTAAACCTGTAGCTTTGGGCCTTGCAGCTGGGGGAAGATGCTAACAACAGGACTCTACCCCTGCTCCGTGCAGCTAGAAGATTCAGCCCTGGCCAAGCCACTGCTGAGCAGAGTCCTCTGCCGCTGTTCAAGGGTTCCCCTGCCTCCATTCCAGCACAGAAATCAGGTTCCTCATTGTAAGGGAAGAGGAGAGACACCGGTGGCAGAGTAAGACAATGGGGTTGGAAGGGTGCTTGCAAGCAGCCAGGACGTCGCCAAAGCTACACAGAACCACACAGGGATCCTTCTTCTCCCGGTGTTTCCAGAGGGGAGGAGAAAGGAACGCGAGCTCCTCTATAAAGAGAGACTTGGAGCAGACAAAGGGGGAACAACCAGAACCAGAAGTTCCTGAATCCAATAAAGTGAGAGTGGGAACAGCTGAGAGCATCCAGGAGGCTGCAAGGAAGGCTCTTCAGGGACTCAGCTCTAGTGAGAGAGCTGAGGGGGAAGAAGCCAAAACAAAGCAGCTTTCAGGTAACCTGAAAACTCAGCAGGGCAGCCCAGCAAAAAGGACTGAGAAGAAGGAACTATAAAGACCTGAATAGAAGGACTGAGAAAGAGGTACAATAAAGATATGAACAGAAGGACAGAATAAGTTAAATTTGTTTTCTCCACCTAGGAACAGGGGAAGAACCCTCTTAGACACAGAGCGATAATGAAGAGTAACTATCTGCACATAAGCTGGGAGGCTGTTTAAATACGAGTCAGTTCATTTTCTAAGGCCCTGGTGGAGGCTAACCAGGACGAAGTTGGTGGTGACTTATTTGAGTCAGAGGCATAGGAAGGACTCTGATAGACTCTGGCAGATTATATGTTAACTATAAGTTAATACCGGGTAGAACAGAAGAGGGTATAGGCGTTGGTGGAGCCCTCACTATACTAAGGTGGATATAAGGACCAATTTGTGCAAGAAGCTGCATGCCCAGACATTTCTTCTTTTCTCCCCTATCAGCAAGTTGTGGCAGGTGACAGTGTGGGTGTGCAGAATATTGCATCAAGAAGGGTCTTGGCAGCCTTCAGCCAGCCAGCTGAAGAGCAACGACTACTTTAGTAGAAAAAAAAAGAAAGGGAAAACTTTACGAAGGCGATAACCATCCGAGAGACTAACTGATTACTTAAATTGAGGCAAGACTGACATCAATGACACTTTAACATTTATCAGGAATGGACACTCACTTAAGACATGCACCCCCAATTCTGAATGGCTAATTTTCAGGGAAACAATGTGTGTGGTATGTGAGTAACTACAGGATTTGAAAGGTGTGAACATCAGAGAGGGTAGGAATTTCCTAGACTATTTTAATGAGCTTGAACTCTACATTGAAATTAAGAAAGCAAAAAAATCTAGGGAAAAACTTCCTAATGGTTCAAGCACCAATTGGTTCAAGTACCCTACAAAACAGTCTCCACAGAAAAGTAGCAGAAGCTTCATTGTTTAGTACTTATAAAAACGAAATTGAACAAAGCACTGGTAAATATGCTGTAAGCAATAATCCTACAGTAGGCTCAATGAAACAGGGTAATCTAACAGGCCTTCTCTAAGTTTATGACTGACATGGCATTGCTGTAGGACATGAATTATTTAATCTAATGTTCCTATTTTTCAGATTTTTTTTTCTCGGCCTCAACCAGAAGTTTGCAAAGTTATGCTCAAGTTACCTTCCAGACATGCAGTCCCACAGCCTGGTAATTCTTCCCTTGGATGCCTTCTGCCAAAGATGGACTGTCCTTTGCTACGTGGGTCAGAGTGTGAACTCGTCCAGCCCAGTCAGCACTGTACTTCCTGTGTTTCTGCAGAAGAGCAATGCACACCTCACTCTGCTCACACACTTTCAGCCAGAACTTGGGGTTGGAAGGAAAGCTGCTGTTGTTACGGCAACCACCTGCAGACTGGCCTTTCACCCATGATCCAAAGAGATTCTGTGTATGACTGAGCACTTTCTCTAGTGAAGGAAAAAGGTAGAGAAGATCAAGCACTGGAAACAAATCATATCTGTGCAACAAAAGTTTAGACTAAAAGAATCACCCGACTGGAAACAATGCTGTAGCAGTGCTGCAGCTCCTTTTGAGAGCTACCCTCCATGACCAAGATCTCAACAAATGCAACACCCAAGTCAAACAGGTAATGGGAGTGCAAAGGACTTTATTTTTAGAGGTCATAATGTAGGGTATTTTTGTGGCCATAAAACTGAATTCTGTGGGAAAGGGATTGTCTCAGTGATCTCCAACAAAACTTGCCTCACAAAAGGACTAGCCCCTCATCAGGAGTCCAGACACAGAAAGTAATGTCAGCCTAAAGAAAGCTTAAAACTCCTATATAGACTACAATTTTCTCTCTCCCTTCTTTCCTTCCAAGCAGCACCAAAGACAGGAAAAACCTGTGTGTGAGAGGAGACAGAGGAAAAATAAAGGTATTTCTGGCTTTCAATAGGCCGGGGGGCAGGAGACAAGGCAGATAATGCCGCAATGAGAGCCATTAAATAACCTAAAATAAAGGTGACCTTTTCTACAAACATAGGCCAATGTCACGTTTAGATATTAGTGAACATACATTTGTCAAAATTGCAATAAACTATGCCATGGGTCACCCTGAGCTATTTAACAGAAGCACCTACTCTTCTGGATATGAAAAAGGCAGGGCTTAGGGAACATATAAGCCTAGGGCCTGTAAACTGCAGAGGAAAAAGCAACTGAGCAGTGTGGCCGGCCAACAGGGGGCACTACTGTGCTGAAACACTCGCCTCACTGTGCCCAACAAAAAACCAAGCTTCGAGTGCCTTCCCTGGGGTGCCTACGTCTGGCCGACCCCCTTCCTGGAACACATCAGCAAGCCTGGGGTAAGCGCTGCCACCACCCAGGGTCTGGCTTTTGTTAGGGCTCCGTGCCCCTCCAGGGTACACAGACCCTGTAGACCCTGAGGGTGCATAACCCACCGTGAGATTCTGAAGTGCTTCCTTTAGCCTGAAGCATCTACAAGCTGCCTCCTCTACAGGAAAAGTGTAAAAAGCCAGGCCTGCCTTAGCCAGCTTAGTAAGGTGAGCTACCAAGGCTGGTCCCCTCCCTCTTAAGCACACGCTGCAAGGCATGCTAGAACAGATAGATTTATTGATTGAAGAAAGACAGGGTGAGGAAGGAATACAAAACAACAGAATATAGATAGAAAATTACCCTTGTGCAAAACAACCTAGGCTGATTGCATTTTGACACGCAACTAATGCCCTTGATTCTAAATTCCTAGCTAAATTTTTCAGGTAAGTTACTCACATGTTCGTCCAGAGACTGATAGAGCTCTGGAGGCTGATTGCTTGTTTCAGTGTCCCAAAATGTCTGCCTGCCTTCCAGGAAGAAAAGACCCTTAAAAGTAACTCCTGCTGACCTCATCACCTGGACCCAGCCAGGAACAGGTGTTACTGGATGCAGACCACTCAGCTTGAAAAACATCAGCACTCACCTAGTGGAGTGACACTGCCTTAAGCCCATCCTTCCAGGTGTGCAAACAAAGGACCAGGGGCAGAGGAATTCCTACAGCTTAGCTCCCTTGGTGACCAGGCTCAGTTGCCTCAGCAACCATGTTGACAGACACTTCGCAAAAACAGAGAAGGGAAAAAAAAAAAAACCCTAAAGCGGGAGCAGAGCTGTTCCACTATAGGGGTGAGGCAGATTGGGGGGTGATTTTTCCATAAGCAGGAAGGCTGCAGAGTAGTTACTGGGTGACACCCAGGCTACCCTGCAAGTAGGATACTGCTGGCTTGCAGGGGAATAGGACTCAGGGTAGGGTAGTTTGGAATTTGTGGTACAGCCAGGAAAGTATGGCTTTATATTGAGACCCAGTATGGAGCTTGTGTTATAGCTAGAGGGCTTATGCCTTTGTGATAGTTTAAACTGGCAGACTGGGTTGGGACTATCAGAGATGATGGAGTCTCAGTAGCTTCTGAGCAGGGTGGAGATGGCCAGGGGGCCCAGTGCTCAAGAGAGGCAGACACCAGGGCCCAGGGCCCAAAGCCAAAGTAGGCAACACAAAAGCTGAAACCCAGATACCAGGTCCAATCCACCGGGCCTGGGCTGGAGGGCCCAGCGAGAGTAAAGGGGCAGAGGCCACAAATAGCCCATAAGGCAACAGGTGCCCTGGAGACACAGACTGGCCAGGAGAGCCAACCTAAAACATGCACAGGATAACTCCAACAAAGGCGTATCACACAAGGGAAAAGGAAAGATACCCTAGAGCCTAAGTAGAACAGGAGCTGCGTGGCCATCAGGGGGTCACAGCCACCTCTGGGCCTGGGCACATGCTACAATGTGAAATAAAAATATACAATTTAAAATTCATCCTGCCAAGAAGTGTCTGCATGAAGCACACTTGAAAGCCTTCCCACCTCTGAATGAAACTGTTCTGCACAGTCAGGAAGCTGAAAGGATGCAAACTGACTCCAGACACACAAAATCCAAATTCCTAATAAATGAAATCATATTGCCAGAAGGATCATTTTTTAATCTTTCCCAGGATACAGTGTATCTAGGGCTCCTTGTAATTGAGGTCACAGTGGAAACTAATTCTGCAACAGCAACCTCTCAGTATTTCAACAAAATTAATTCATTCTATCACCAAGAAACACCTTTGATCCCATCCCATGAGGATACGACTCAGAATTTAAAACATTCACTGCTGTGATGTTTTTTGATGACTAACTACTTCTACTGTGGTTATTTTAGAGCACTGATTCTCAACCAGTATGTCACAGCACCCTGGGGTGCCTTAAGGTCCACACTGTTAGCACTGTTAGAAGCTCACACAGATTATATTTGGAATACTATGGACTCTTATTTAAAAACTCTGAGTTTGTCTTGTGAGTCACGCTTGCACACCTGAGTGATCTGCAACAGAAAAAACGCTCTTTTATTTTTCCATAGTCAAAAAAAACCAGTGAAAAATGCATGAGGGGAAGTTTCTGAGGAGTACCTTGAGTCTGAACAATGAATCTAAAACATTTAAGAACCATTGTTTTAGAGCATGAGCTGTCAGGCTTTTGTTCCATGGTGCGACCCAGATGACAACTCAAAATCAGCTTCTACCTATGACAGGGAAGGCACAAACTTTCAGCTTGGCATCAGCAACATCTTTCCTCAAGCCCTCATCTACCACGCTCTTCTCACAGACCTAACTTGACCCCTTATATATTTCTCTCTCATGTTTCCCAGCTGCAGACTGGACTCAAACGCTCAGTTCCCCACATCTTGTTGTCCACACACTATGGAATAATGCCGTCTTATGAGCTAGAAACTTGACTGGGTTGACCTAGCAAGGGATGATCTAGCCTTAAGTAGAACCCTGGATAAGATGACCTCAGGAGGTCCCTTCCAGCTGTACTTTCCTATGATCCTATGATTTAGGAACACAATTCTTTAGTAAACTCCACAAGCTTGGAAAAGCAAAGTCCATGCCTGAAGCATCAACACTTCAGTCATCCATTCTAAAATTACCATATTTATTAGAATCTAAGATGACCCTAAATTTAAGATAACCACCCAGTATTTAGATTCTATACGTGGATGATTTATAAATGTGTCATGAGATTTTCCAGGTGTAGAATCTAAGTATTCAAGGATTGCCTTAAATTCAGGGAAAGCAGTGGCTGGGGAGAGGAGTCAGGCAGCCCCTTTGTCCTCTGCCCCCTCCCCGCTTCTTCCCCCTGCAGCTTTCCTGCCCCCCTTGCCACTTGCACCTCCCAGCCCCAGCTCCCCCCAGACTCTACCCTTTAAGGTCTGCAGTCTCTGCTTCTTCTCCCCCAGCCCTTACTGTCACACATTGCCTGGATTCTATTTCTACCCAGAGCACAGCACATAGAAATGCAGCCCCTGCCAGGCCAGGCAGCAGCATCAATGCAGCTGCTTGGCCAAGCAGCAGCGTTGGTACTGTTGATTAGCCAGGCAGCGGACAAAGTTTCCACATGCTCCACGCCTGGGAGGGAATCCAGCCCGAGCCACAGCTGAGCTGCATCATAACAGTAAGGTGGGGGGAAGGAGGCAGAGCAGAAGCTGCAGAGGTCAAACAGTGTACAGGACCAGGCAGCTGCTGTGGGTCTGACTCTGGCCTCAACCCAGGCTCAGGGCCAGAGCCACAGATGCAGCAACTGCCTACTCCCACCCCACTTTGTACATGAATCTAAGATGAGGGCCTTTTTCCCCCCACATGCTGTTTGTGGTGGGGGTACACCTCATCTTAGATTCAAGTAAATATGCTACCAGTGAACAGGAAGAGGTGTTTTTTCCACCAGTAAATCAGAGAAATGTAGAGAAGGAGAAAAGTGAACAAGTTAAGCTTAATTCATACACAAGGGGTTACCAACTGCATATTCAAACCTCTCCCAGAATTTTCTAATGAAAGAACTCAGGACAAACTGGGAAGGATTTGGAAACATGACAGTCTAGTTCTAAACAATAGGATTAAGTCTCTTTCAATTCCAGTCAGACTCCCCATTAAACTCATCTTATTTGTAAAGGGAATGCCTGTATGCCTGCATACCTGTATAAAGGCTCTGAAGCTGTCCCTCTTCTGTGATTGGAAACCCTGTGGTAATCTCATCAAATTCCTTGAAAAACTCCTCCTCCTCAACCCAGAACTCTCCTTCCTGGATCTGCGACAGCAGTTCTGAAGCAACTACTGGATCCAGCTGACTCCATCCTTGACCACTGCAAACAAACACACAAAAGTCAAAGTCTAGGCTGTTCACTCACAACTCCAATACAGCTCTACAAAAATCTTCAGTGAAACGCAGCTGCACAGTGAAAAAACACCACAGGCGTTTCTTGATTTTACTGTCATGCACATGTGCTCGCTACTTCATCTGGACATACTGCTAATCACAAAGGATTAGCAACCAAAAATATAAACTGGCATTCTCTGTGCAGGAAAAACTATGAAAAAACAAAACCAGAGTTAGATGGGCAGTATGCACTCAAATAAAACAACTAGTTCACTTACCATGGAGACAGCGCAAAAAGTGCTTGTGCCAAAACCCTGACTTTGTTTAATGTTTATGCATGGTGGAAGGAAGGGGAAAACCATGATTCCAAGTACAAAGATAAATGGTTCAAATAAAATTAAATGCATTTGTTTTAGGATGTTTGATTCTACTTAGTGAGCCCCTTTCCACCACCACACACTATTTCTATACATCAATAGGGCAGAACATCAGTATGTTGGCTGCCAAATGATTGTTAAATGAAGATCCACGTTAAAACTTACTATTTAGGGTCTTATTAAGTGCTGGGCACCTACTGCTTCCTTTGGTTTCACTGGCACCAAGGTGGTGTTCTGCAACTTAAGACACAGCATTAAAGCTGTACAATTGTTTAATAAAGTATGGGCTGCATTCCTCTACTATTTTTCAGAGTGCCTAACACTTAATCTTAAATAAGATTAATAACTAAACGCAGACAGCCTTTTTCCCTTGCAGACAGCATGCTACAACAGGCTGCTTACCTGTCCAGTATGTCCCTATATTTCCTTTTAACTCTAAGCCCCTTCATCACCTTTTCATTCAGTGTTGGTTTCAGCTTCTGCTCCTATTGCCTATAGCAACAGCATGATTAGAAACACTAAAAATATCTTCCCAATTGCTACACTGGAATTAAATTTTTTTCACAGAAGCACAACCTTAACCACATTTCACAATTCTAAGCACTTTGCCAAGATGACGTTGGAAGAGCTGGGTCACTACCAGCAACCCACTAATGACTCTCAAGTTAATCAAATAATGGATCAAAATAAAAACAATAAAAATGCCAGTGGCAAGCAGAAGATAAATTAACTAATTCCCTGGGCAGCAGCAAACAGTTCCCAGCAGAATAGCTTAGGGGTAACAAACATATGGCCTCCATGGGTCAACTGTGACCTCGCCCAGGTCACAGAGCCATGGGGCTTTTCTCTGGCCAAACGACTCGCTTCCAGATCCAGCCCACAGGAATTCTCACTGTGGCTCCCAGAGCTGTTGTGCTGGCATGGCCAGCATTCAGGGGGTTTATAACAGAATTTCTAGTTCTTGATCCCGACTCAGCATGAAATCGGAGGCAGGACAGCAGTGTTAACCCTTTACGTGTTGGCCATGATGACACAGCAGCTCTGGCAGATACAGTAAGAAGCCCCACAGGCCAGATCCAAAGGTGAGCTGTCCAGTCATGAGAAGCCCCATGGTCCAGATCTAGCCCCACCAACCCCCCTGAGTTTCACGCCTCTGGTGATAGGCATTACCAGAGCCAACAGATCAAAAAATGAAACCCCCTAGAGTCCAGGAGTTGTACATAATACTGAACTCAAAGGAAGATTATATATAGAAATAAGACTACAGTACTGGAATACACCCTTCCATTTTAGCATCTTGGGTATACTCACCTTTGTAATATACATACACACACTTGGTGCTCACACACAGCAGACTCAGCTACCCTTGTTAAAGTAATTTATGAAGAGAATATGACAAAGAAAACCAAATCACTCACCCTTCCCGCCATGGCCCTTTCCAGCAGCGCCTCCCCCAAGGGTTTCGTATACGGAGCAGAATGATATCCTTGCCTGAGACTTTGGAGAGATTCAGCATATCTATGACAATAAAGGCGTGAAATTCTCCCAGCTCGCTAGCACCTGTACAGAAAAAGAGATGTGCCACCAGTAAGTAGAAAACTAGCCAGTATTCTTTGCCAAGGGAAGATGAAGTAAAGTCTCTGTCCCTTCTTATAATTAAGAAAGTTGTAACTAGGTCCTCCATTTTGCCCGTGAATACAATGAATCAACATGTAAACCACAGTCAACATCGTATGTACACAGTTATTTGCCTCCGATTCAAGAACCTATGGGAGAAGAGTGAAAAACAATGTTAAGTACCAGTATACCCAGAAACAGTAGGCCTTTGGTAGTTGGCTTTGAGCATCTGTGGATCAGTGATGGTGAAGCATTTTATCATCTTTTTAATCATTTTTTTTACAAGAGAGGCAACACTTTCTTGCCAGTCTTTGTACACAAACTGGTTTCCCTACTCCTACATCCTCTGCCTGAACAGCATTCTTACAGCTTCATTTCTCTTGTGGTTAACACAATTACACCATGAAGCATCTGTACTAGAATTTGAATCCAAAAGTTATTAGCATAGCAAAATTATCAAACCGTCAGATTGTGGGATGTATTATGCTACAAATGTCAGGAAAGCAGATGGCTTATGTGGTTCTGCAGTGTATCTGGAAATCTTCTATTACCTTGCGTGGAGCTGAGGACTGAGCAACTTATTACACATTGTTCCTTCAGGTTCATCAGTCTCCTAAACACAGTCTTCTCCAAAACTGTACCAGTCCTTTCTTTTTCCATTTTTCTTCCAGGATCTTTCAGGGTCCATCTCTCAGCTAGACCTCCAGTCAAATCTACTAGAGCATCTGCTACCTGGCCTGCCCACAGCTGCTCATAAGACCCATGAACTCTATAAAAAAAAACACACACACAGAGAAATAAAAAAGACACATATTTCAAAGCTTACTCCTAAATAAAGACAACATATTATTCGTTTGAATTACAAATATTTCCTTATTATGAGTATGATGTTAGCATAGAATAAAAAGGTCTCACTGTATCTGCAAAGTATTTATCATTTATTGGACACTACTACAAGACAAGAAGCAAACTATAATGCATTACTTTCTTTAAGGAAACTGCCCATACCTGTCATTAGCACCTCATCATCTGAGGAACTGCATTACCTTTCAAGATAAAAAAAAAAAATAGCGCTGGCAAGGTTAAAAAAAAATTCTAACTTCCTCTAACATATTCATTGTGTACTCCTTGCAACAGTACTAGCTTTTCTCCCAGATGTTCTATATTAAGGAGATAATGAATCAGTCTTTATTATTTGCAGTGACTAAAAACAGGAGAAAGTATCAAGCCAGGATTATAAAAGCTCTGTAAAAAAAAAAAAAACTCAAAAAACCAGGCAAACAAATAATGCTTACCTAGAAACCCACAGCAAGGAGAAAGTTTAATATGCCAATGGAGCTTAGTCACTAACTTCAACATATCCAGAGTAAGCTGAATCATCTCATCCAAAAGGTCCTTCTCTCCCTTCTTCTAGTGTCTAAAGAAAGCCTCTTGCAAGAGCAGTAGGGCAATTTGATGTCAACCTTATGCAGATATTCTGCTTTGTCTAAGCTGCAAACTGACTAAGACGAGACCTTGATGTGTGTTTTATACAAACAACGGCCACATTGTCGAATGTAAAATAACACGAATTAGTATTATATCTATTGGCTCATCATTCTTGGCAGGACTGGTAAATAAATAAGAGAAAAGCTATGTGTTAGACAGCACTATGCCAAGAAAGAAACATTTAGGCCAAACACCATTAAGCCTCAACCACTACAAATAACTCTCGATAGAGCTCCACATATTTATACCAGCTGAAGATCTGACCTCCAATGTCTATCTTATTGTTCTCAAATAATGTATCAGTGAAAACTGTTTGATTCCCATCCTACTCAACTACGTGATTTGTTAGCTAAGCATCATTCCAGTCTGCAACTGGCCAGCTCATTATAGCTATTATTTTCATTAATTATTTCAGTAAGACCTCAACTTGTATATGGATGGAATGGTGCTTAAAGGATCTAGGACAGGATATTGAACCACTACAGACTCCAACATGAGAAAAAATCTGGAAATTCTCATTCCATATTGAACAATAAAGCAAAAATCCATTACCAAAACCAGCTAAATGGTACTACACTGGTTATGGAGAAAAAAATACACTGCTACCTATTACTTCCCTGTTTCCATCATCAGTCCCAGCAAAAAACTAAAATCCTAGAGAGAACTCCGGGAGTCCAGAAAGGGAGTATGAAATCAAATAAGTAGAAAAAGTGCCATAAGCATATATATGTAAGATGTAAGTACTAGTCATTGCAACAATTTAAAATCACCTCCAGTGATAAAGTTCACATACTTGGCATAGACCTTTTCCAGGAGCGGAAGCCAAAATACATCTTCTGTTTGACACTGGGAGAAGCAGAGTTTACCCCCAAGGCAAGGCAGGCGATCATCAACGGTTACTTCCATCCAGTGTCCAAACTGCCAGATTCGACAAGTGAAGCAGCCTCTGTATTTCTCATCTGTCCAACTGGGTTGACCAGGGGGAATTACCTGGAAAAAAAAAGAAAAGAAAACAAAGAAAACACTAGCAGAAAACCAAGATAAATAGCTACATTTATTTTAAAGGAAACCTCCACTTAAAACACAACCAATGCCCACCATTCTGCATAACAGGATAAAAGAAATTGTACATCTGAGTATTAAATGGTAAAATGGCATCAAACTATGATCATCAAAGATTTTCCTGAGCTGAAAGAGGCTAAAGGTTAAAAGAAAGAGAGAGAGTGTTAAGAGGCAAAAAGGACAATTTCTGGGACACAAAAGGTGACAGGAAGCTTTGCCATACCTTAGAGAGCAAGTATTTACTCTTTTGCAAAGCAGCACAGGCACAGAGGAACCAACAGTCTCCCAAAACCCCTTGTTTTACTTGAACCTCTTGTGGATTGTCTGAAAATAATCGAGGAACAGAACAAATTTCCTAAAAAAAAAAATAATAAAAAAATATAATAATAAAAAGTAATAATAATACTTAGAGTTAAATTCTGCATGCTAATATAAGGCAATAAAAACAAGTATGTGTTTTGGGGGGACTGGAGGGCTCAGGAGACACATAATAAATGGTGTTTTACCTCTACATCTCCTGTCTGAATGCAGCCCAGTCTAGCAGTGACTGACCCTGTTACTGTCTGATGGTTACTCAAAAGTGGCTTTTGTGAAACAAGTCCACCCTCCAGCTGGATTTTTGTAGACAGGTGCCATCAACAAAATTGATATTACTGTTATCTACCTCATCAAAGCAGCTGGGGAGCAAATGAGCAAAATGAGAATTAACCTGTTCAGTGCTAGCTACATGGGTCAACACTTAGCAGGGCAAGACGAACAGTTACTGAAAAACTGCCCAGTGTAAACATGAGCTTTTTCTGGACATTTATAACACTCTGCCCAGAGAGTTAATGTGACCAAAGAAAGAAAAGGAAATATGGTCTTTTCTTCAGTTTCTTGTCAATATTATAAAGACAAGACCAAAAATCAGCTCTTGAGCAGCTGTTATGCTAATTATGGTGGGCTGAGCTACACAATGGACACTAGAAAATCTTTTTTTTAGTGATTATTTATAGTAAAATAGAAAATATGCTCATCTCAGATTTTTTATGTGGATACCAAACTTGAGATTGATCAGAGAAAGAGCAACTCTATTTTTTTCTTTCTAAATTAGTAGTGAAACTTACACTGCTGTTGCTCATGTCATCCCTATTCCATGAACTGAGTTTCAGCCTCTAGAACATTTATCATCAAAAGTTTTGTTTAGGAGGAAAAGCACTCTGAGAAGAGCAATCTGCTCAGACTATCTGCAATCCTTTGTATCTTAATTTGTTTTACATATAATAATAGGCAGTACCATAAATACTCCACTGTTCTACTGAATGTACCATAGAAATATACCTTCCTTTTCAATTCTTACTCCTTTAATTTTTGAAAAATTTCTAGGGCCTTGCGTTTGTGGAAAAAAAATTCCAAACACAAGCCAAGTGTAAACCAAGCTGTCCATTGAAATGTGCAAGTAGCCAGGAAAAACAGCACAGCTTTTTCACTCCAGTGAAGCCCATCAGGGTACCTGTACGACTGATAGCAGAAGTGGTGCCCTTTACAATCAAAGCTACAGCTAACAGCTAGAGAACATCAGCTGTCCTGAGCTTCTGTTGGCTGAGGCTGTAGGTACTCCTGCATATTTCACAAACCCTCATTTTCACTGGAAGATAAGGAACGTAACACTGAGAAGTATATGGATTTGACTGTAATACAGACACAGAAACAGCAACTGAGCAAGCTACTCAGTCATTAATAAGAAGTTAAATATTACCAAAACATTTCAGTTATCACATCACAAAACTCACCTGCGGTCTCAGCCAGGAGATCTCCCCTCTGAACTGCGCAAGTGGGGTGGAATAGTTAAAAAAGAGGGAGGAATCATTGGCTGGAAACGTGGGGTCATTATAAAGGTCTCTTTTTGCATCTGACTGCACTCTGTCTCCCAACATTTTCAACACAGCGTCCAAGTGCTTACATCTCCAATTAATCTCTACAAAACAAGTCAGGAAAGGATCAGGATGATAGCTTTGGGAATGCGAACAAGGCCGAGAAATGTACAATAAAGCCACTCACTGTTTCCTCGCTACAGCTTGAGGCATAGCGGCAACTCTAGTCCAAGCCAGCCCTTGGCCACAAAAAACCCATTACTGCAAAGAAACGACACATGAAACATCTGAGAAGTGCACCTGAATTATACCCTCTTAAGGAAGTAACCCTGCCACATGGGCTCTTAAATGGACGCGCCAAGGTAGACAGCAACCAGACAAACCATCAGGGGAATACAAGCAGAATGCGATCAAATCGCAGAGGGCTGGAGCAGTGCCCACTGCCCAAGGCACGGTGCTGGCCCACACAGCGTCTTGAAGGGGTGCACCCACCCAAACCGGTACCACGCAGGCCCCCTCACGCCGGTCCATGGGCATCCTTCCCCGTGCCTGCATGGGCTCACCGACTGCCCGACTGG